ATCACAACAACAATGCACCATAACAATTCTCCAAAACCAAACAACCACCACAAAGAGCACACCTCCAAGAATCACCAAACATAATTCACAACCAAGGAATCTATGACAACAAACAACTAACACAAACAACAGCAACTCAACAATTAATAATTCTTAATATGATGAATACAATGTAGGCATGCAACTATCAAAATTCCCACATGAAAATCACAAGCACAAAATTTTCTCAACCAAAGAACTACTTCAAATTCAAAGGAAAATTAGAGTAAGAGATAAATATATACCACCAACGAATACCAACAATTACTCCAACTACCCTTTGAAGAAGAAATCAAGCACACCTTCAAGAACCCTTCAATGGTGGAAGCAAGTCTCGTTCAAAGAGGAACACCGAAATTGGGGGTTTCAAAGGGTGGAATTTCAGAATTTTGTGATGAAAATTTGAAGGAAAGTGAAACAATTTGATGGATGTTGATGATTAGTGATGAGAAATGGAGGTAGAAGGGCTTATGGTTTGAAGAGGAGTGAGGTTTAGAGGGAGAAAGGGGCGAAAATTTCAGAAATTTGGAGTTTGGGTTTCGGCTTTTTGTTGAGAAAAGCTCTTAAAATCCGCAGACCCCTACTGCTTCGGCCGCGGGGGTAAAGGCTGTGCCTGCGAGTTTACCAGTCCGCGCCCGCGGATCTTAGGGTCACGCCCACTCCCCGACTTCTCAAATTTCTAAAATTTCTGAAGTGTAACTTGTCGCGCCCGCGGGTTGATATCCCGCACCCCCAGGTTTTGACTGTCCGCGCCCGCGGGTTAACAGGCTGCGCCCGCGGCTGGAGATGCCGCGCCCTCTACTATGCATCTCCTAGGCATCTCCAGTTTCTTTGTGTTCTGAAAGTACCATGTCCGCGACCGCGGGATTTAGTGTATCTCCTAGGCATCTCCAATGGTGTCCTTCAAACAAGTGTATTATTCCGATACAGGGTTCAGAATTATTGCGAAGCTAATTATTCAATGACGTTAAGTGATCAGAATGCCTAGGTGGAGGCCGCTTCCGATTAGTAATATCAGTGCATAATTAATATTATAGCTTAATCTTGACTGAACCCTTCGGGTCACACCCAATTGTGTAACCGAACCGAAACGACGAGTTAATCCGAAGCATTAAATGAGTCAATAGACTATATACGAACAAAGACGTCGGATTCCGAGGTTAGAGCGTCGAAGCCAAACATTATAAGTCGAGTCGAATTTTGGAACCGACGAGATGGAAAAATCGACCAAACAGCAAGTCATTGCACGGGATAATCCTATCCTCGAAATGGTCTAGCTGATCGAGGGCTAGGATGGCTAGCATGACTAGCCAAGACCATTGTCCCAAGGCAAGGCTCTGCCGCAAGCTCACCATGCCTAGCATGGCCAACCATGCCTTGCGCGAATCGTAAGGCCGGCATGGTTGGCCGCTCTTGCTAGGCAAGCCAGCAGAGAACCCCGCACCATCATAAGGCCAGCAAGAAGAAAATGCGCGCTGGGCCTCACGCATGGTCGCAGCAGCTAGTTCGGCTCAAGTGGCGCAAGCAACGCAGCAGCAGAAGAAGCTTGCATTGCGTGCGAGGCTTAAAGGTTGTGTGTGTGAGCGGGCGGGTACGATTCTCACATTGGGAATTCAAAGTGCAAGAGAGGCAGAAGTAGAGGAATTGCGTAGAACACGAAGAGCAAATTCTTCGCCTTACTTGCGGTTACCCCTAGCAGACTTAGGAGGGTTGACAAACCTCCCTCTAACGGAATACGACCCTCCTAACACGCCGGTATCGCATTTTAGCTCTTTTAATTTCACTGACCTGTTCAATTATGATGATTCTGCAAACAACAGGAAACGCATTTGGATAGCAGTGGGTCACATGCCATTATCATGCAAGGGTGATTCTGTTCGTTACAGTGAAACGGATCACGAGTGGGTTGAAAGGAAGAGGTTGAAGAGACTTCATAGATGGTCCGAAAAGGGTGGTTTCACCATTTGGATTAAGGATAAAGATGGTGGAAGCCGGTTCGCTGCTAAAGCTGATCCTGATTTGCCGAGAGAATTTGAGGTGAACATCGATGGGGATTTACAAATGAGGGGTAAAAACAAAAGGGCCCAAGACTTATCATCTTCATTTTCTGATTCTTATAAGAGGTAGAAAACTGAGGAGGTTAATTAGGCTTTTAGGGAACACATGGATGATATGGAGGTTAACTACCAAGTATCAGTGTTTGGCTCGGCAATGGTAGGTTCAGGAGGTGAGGAGGTTGCTCCAGATCAGCCCCCGACGGCATTATGAGTATTGTGGCTTGGAATATTAGGGGATTAAATTATCCACACTCCCTTACAATTCCTTATATTGTGTGGCTCTACAGATCAAAATTACCTTCTTTTTTATTTATCTCAGAAACCAAAATGGATTTTTCGTCTGCAGCAGCAAAACTTAGTTTCTTAAGCCCGACTTCCAATTTTGGGTGGAATTCAAATGGAAGTAGTGGAGGGCTTAGTTGAATGTTTGTTCTCTTCTAAAAACTTTATCTTATGTAAAATAACTACTATTAATGGAAATTTGAAGTATGTGTTGTTCTTTTACGGTGAGCCTCAATTAGATTGTAGAAGAATCGTTTGGGAACAACTACAATGGTTTCTGGACGAATTCAAAAATGTTCTAGTTATAGGAGATTTCAATCAAATTGAAAGTGGAAGTGATAAACTAGGGGGTTCGAATAGAATCAGAGGATTAGATGCCTTCTTAGATTGGAGGTTTAACAGCAATGTCACAGAAGTTCCTTTCTCCGGCCCATGGTTCACTTGGAGTAATAAGAGAGAGGGGATGAGCTCATTCTATAAAGGCTTGATAGAGCCTACATCATAGAGGAGTGGTTTAATCATTTTCCAAGCGGGAAAATTACTCATGAGCCGATAGTTTGCTCCGACCACGCGGCCATTACCTACTATGATCATGTAAGACCGACTTCTTCGAACAGGCCTTATCAGATAGAAAATTGGTGCCTCCCTTTCCCTAAAGTCAAGGAGATAATAAGGACCACTTGGATGGAGGAGGTTCAGGGCTCGAACATGTTTTGACTCTCTAGGAAGCTTTGGTGGGTTCGAACTACGCTTCAACACTGGTGTTTGGAAAACAAGACTTGGGGAATCAACTGGAGAAATTTGACCAAGGATCTACACCACTCAGGAATGGATATAGGATCAATTCAGGAAGGGGAAATTTACATCCAGAATATAAACACTCTTATTCGAGAAGGTACGTTGAGTTTTAATTTCAGGAGGCAAAGGATGAAAGCAAACTTGATCAAGTTTAGGGATCTCCCAACACCAACAATGTATAGGCGATTTAAGCAACGACAAACTCATAACACAATCTTGACGGTGAGAGATAATAATGGAATGTGAGTTGAAGGTTCGGATGAAGTGGAGGTAGTTATTGCAGAAGCCATCAAAGAGACTTACAATCTGGTTATCAATGATAACAGAGGGGAAGAAATCGATCTTCTGCTTCGCCAGCTCGAGATTCCCCAATTAATGGAGGAGGATAAAGCGTGGCTAGAAAAAGATTTCTCAGATGGAAAGATCAAAAAGGCGATGTTTGAGTTACCCTGCTCTAAGTCTCCTGGTCCGGATGGCTTTACGGTGGAATTTTTCAAGACTTATTGGAAGGAAGCAGAGCAATTAGTGGTTGATAGTGTGAAACAGTTTCTAAGGACAGGGCACATGCTTAAGGAGTGGAATCAATCCCTTCTGGTTTTGATACCAAAAGTGAAGGCCCAGAGCTTAGTAGCCACTTTAGACCTATAAGTGTGTGCAACACAATCTAAAAGTGCATTTCAAAGTACCTGGTCAATAGGCTCAAACCGATTCTCCAAGCCTTAATTCTGAGAATCAGCATGCTTTTATACCAGGACAGTACATAGAAGATAACATTATCTTAAGTCACGAACTTATGCACCTTATCAACTCAAAAACTTACCGTCGAGAAACATTTTGGGAGCATCCTAATCCAGCGGTCAAGATTGATATGTCCAAAGCATATGATAGAGTGGATTGGTTATTCCTCATGAAGACTTTGAAGGCCTATGGTTTCTCTAACCACTGGATTAGGATACTCTCAAAATGTTTCTCGACGGCAAGTTTTAAAACAGTCATTAATAGGAAGGTTTCGGGACACTTCGCTCCGAAGTGTGGTTTGAGACAAGGGGATCCCCTCTCCCCGTACCTGTTAATTTTCTGTATGGATATCCTTTCAAGAATGTTCACTGGTAGAAGATATTAAGCAATTCCAGGGCTTGAAGGTGTCTAGAAGGTCACCGTCGATATCCCACCTCTTCTTTGCAGATGATGCTATGATCTTTTTCAAATCAGATAAGGATTCTTGCTCTTGCATCTCTGATATTCTTCAGAGGTTTGGCAAAGCATCTGGCCAACAATTAAATCTTCAAAAATCTATGATAAAATTCTCTCCGGGTTTCGATAACAACAAGAAAATGGTCGTCAAACAGGCATTGTCAATGCCAGAGACTGATAATATGGGGATCCATCTAGGGGCTCCGATAGACATCAAGGGAATGAAGAGCCCCATTTTCAATTCTTAGTGGATAAGGTGTCGGAAAAAATTGTTTCATGGGCGTCTCTCCATCTTTCACAACCAGCTAAACTAATACTTATCAACACTATTTTGGTAAGCATGTCTGCTCACGTCATGAAGTGTTTGAAACTCCCTCAGAGTATAGCTAGTAAGATTGATTCGCTGATCACTCGGTTTGGTGGGCCAACAATGGTCAAAAAGGTTTGCATTAGGTAAATAGGGGCATTACACAACTCCCCAAAATCATGGGAGGTCTAGGTATCAGGCGCTCTTCTATTTTCAACAGTGCTTTAATTTTCAAACAAGCCACTAGGATGCATAACAATCCCCAACTCCTGCTCGCCAGAGTCTACAAAGGTTTCCAAAAGTGGGGTATTTGCAACATCACTATGTCGTATGTAAGGAAAGGTAATCCGTCTATGGGGAGGTCTAGCATTCACAAGGTCATCGAATCTTTCAAGAATGGGTTTGCTTGGAAGGTTGGGAGTGGAAAGGACATTTCAGCAATTAGTATGCCATGGGTAAAAGGAGAAATCCCTGTTGTTAAATCAGGTCAAACTCTGCAGACAACCTTAAATTGGAAAGTAAGTGATTTTATTGATAGTGAGTCTAATAGTTGGAAGGCTCGAAAAGTTAGAGAATGCTTTGAGTGGGACTTGGAAAAGGCTATTCTATCAATGGAACTTCCATACAATAGTGAGGATGACTTCCTCTATTGGAAATACCATCCACCAGGAAGGTATATAGTTAAAACAGGTTACTATTATTTACACAAGGATCTAGGGTTAGAAGGAACTAGTTCCATGGGCAGTGATCAGAACTTTATTAAGATACTATGGAAAATGGAGATCCAACTTAAGTGGAAATATTTTATGTGGAGAGTCTTCCATGATGGTATAGCGGTCAAAGCTAATTTGGCAAGGAGAGGGGTTCCCGTTGATATAGTATGTGAACACTGTGGTGTTGGTGAAGAGGATAGCCAACACCTCTTTAGATTTTGTATTCAGGCAAGGGAAGCTTGGGAGACTGGCTCCCTAAATATTTGCCCTGACTTTCTTGGATCCACGTATTTGCGCAGTTGTATCCAACACTATATCCTGTTATTTTACAGTGAGGATGGCAAGCACGGCACCCGTTATGTCTTATTCATAGCAACGCTTTTGGGCCTATGGAAAACAAGGAACGAGAAATGTTTCAATGGAGTGGCGGGGACATCGCGACGAGTAAGGGAGTTCATTAACATTGCTTTGCAGAATCACGAGACTTTCTTAAACCAAGCTAACACGGCTAATGGAGGAGAAGACACCAGCCGGGAGGACCCAGCATTCCCACCAAGTTTATATCATGTCCATTTAGGAAAGGAGAAGGTTAGGTTTGATGACTTTATTGTAGAAGTTGATGGCTCCTGGGATAAAACAACAACAAGAGCAGGAATAGGGTGGGCGGTGAAACCCAATACGCAGGGCCACGTGCTGGAGGAGGGAGGAGGCCATGGAGCTGCAGCATCAGCTACCCAATGCGAGGCATGGGCTTGCCTGGAGGCCATGAGGTGGGCACAAACTAAGGGCAGACAGGGGATTCTTATCCTTTCTGACTCTAGTTCTTTGGTAAACAACCTTCAAAATAAGGGAACTGTGGAAGTTTCGATAACTTGGATTCTCAGGGAGATAAAGGAAGCAGGGGCGGGCTACCAAAGATGCGCTATATTAAAAGTTCCAAGGGAGCAGGTTCAAAAAGCAAATGATATAGCCAGGAAATATCGTACAAACCTTTCTGTCGTTTTATTATGCATTAAGTTTCCTTTTGCTATTGTCAAAAATAAATACATAAATCAAGGCTTAAAAAGAATTAAAATTTTCGTTGAAAAACGAAAAACCCCAGAAAAAATGGGTTTCTGGTTCGAATTTGGCTTTTGGACAGTTCTCAAAGAGGGTTGAACCTGTTCTAAAATGTCAATTTCACCCAAAAATCACTATTTTTGAGCCAAAATCTAGGTTCGACAGCCAAATCGAGATTAAAACCGAGTTTTAAAATTAATTAAAATGAGCATCTAATCTAATTAGAAGAATGAACCAGAAAAATAAATTCTTTTAAAACACCTTAATTAAAAAATAATTGCAAAAGTTAAAAGGAGCGTGGCTCCGATACCGCTGTAGGGTTTCGTAGTGACCCGACACTACGCGGAAGGAAACCCCCAAGACCCACCCCTTAATTAAAGCAATTAATAAGCATAATAAACTTAATCAAACAAGACTAAGAACAAGAATTATACCTTTGTTGCGTGCTTCGCTCCCAAAGAGCTCTTACTTCAAAATCTCGAAACTACGAGATCTCCGACTGATCGTACCCTCGACCCGACCCAAGCGTCCCAAGTCTTGAAGGTTAGTCAAGACCCGGACAAAACAAAACTATGAGTTTTATAAATCAATGGTTTACTCTAATTACAAGAGTTGCCATTTTAATTCCACTCAAGGTTGTGTATTTCCCAATACCATGCCTTTGGTATTTATAGGGAAATGCATTGAACTTCATTCCCCAACCAATGTGGGAGAATGAATAGTTTGATAATTAATTTATTTACAAAATAAATTAATAATTAAATTCAATCACAATGCAACAAGTGTCAAGGGGAGAGAGAGGGTTAGGTGAGGACCATGAAGAGGTGGGGGGACCATTGCCTTGCTCCCCAAGGCTTTGCCCAAGCCTTGGTCCCCACCCCTCACAAAACCACCGTAAGCAAGGGGCTGCTGGGCTGCTGCCAGCTAGCACGCTAGCTAGTAGTGCCAGCTAGCCCACCCAGCCAGCACCAGCCCACCCAGCAGCCTTCGCATCCCAGCCAGGCAGTGCATGCTTGGTGCTGGGAGATGCTTGGCGCTGGTGCGTGCCAGTGCTAGGCGCTGGTGCGTGCCAGTGCTAGGCGCTGGTGCGTGCCAGTGCTAGGCGCTGTTGCGTGCCAGTGCTAGGCGCTGGTGCGTGCTAGCGCTGGTGCTAGCCCTCGCCTCTCTCGCACATACTAGCATAGCCAGCATGCGTGCTGCTAGCGAGCCACGCATGCTGGCCCCTTACCTCGCCAGTCATACGCACCACCCTCGCATCCCTCACTACACCTCTCGCACACGCACCAGCCTTGCACCGCACGCACATGGGCCACACACAATGCTAGCCCAGCTAGTGCGCCTATGCACGCAAGGGCCTAGCATGCATACTGGGCGATGCTGCCATGCACCCTCGCACTAGCACTACTATGCTTGGTGCGAGGCACGCACATGCACATGCGCCAGTGCCTAGCACTGCAATGGCTGTGCTTGGTGCGTGTGTGGCCCTGTCATGCGCACCTAGGCATCTAGCCAAGCACATTGCTGTGTTGCGATGGTGCGCCTAAGCTGCGATGGTGCGCCTAGGCTGCGATGGTGCGCCTAGGCTGCGATGGTCAACGATGGTGCCTAGGAATCATGCTAGGGCTGCGATAGCGCCTAGGCATGATGCTAGGGCTGCGATGGTCAGCGATGGTGTGCCTAGGCTGCGATGGTGCTCCTAGGCTGCGATGGTGCGCCTAGCACACCTAGTGTGCTTAGGCTTGTGCCTAGCCATGCTAAGTGCATGCTAGCTCGAACTAGCCTAGCATCCACATGGTTAGACCATTGTGGTGCTACGGCTACGCTCGTACTTGTCGCTTGTGATTTTGCGACGCTCGGCCTCGACGCCTTAGGCTTGATATTCGACGTCTGTATTCGTAAAACTCTGTCGACTCATTAAATCCTTTCGGATTAATTCGTCGTCTCGGATTAGTGATTCGATTGGGTTCGACCCGAAGGGTTCAGTTAAGATTAAGCTGTAATCAATTATACCTCGATATTACTGATCGGAAGCGGCCTCCACCTAGGCATTCCGATCACTTGATCTTACTGAAGAATTAACTCTGTAATAATTCTGAACCCTTTGTCGGAAGAATACACTTGTTGGAAGGACACCATTCCTTTCAGATTCAACATGCAAGAAGCCAAGAAAGGGCACCTACCCATGTCACATGGCATAACTCTCAGCAATAAATAGTGTCCTCAGACAGAGGATGAATCAGATTCCATATGCTTCACTTATTGGATCGATCATGTATGCCATGATATGTATTAGGACGGATGTATAGTATGCCTTGAGTGCTATGAGTCGATACCAATAAGATCTAGGAAAGGCACATTGGACGGCGGCCAATAATATCATAAAGTACCTGAAAAGGAACAAGGATAAATTTCTGGTCTATAGTGGGAGTAAGGATCTGGTTGTTAAAGGTTATACCGACGCAAGCTTCCAGACTGACAGAGACAATTTCAAGTCACAATCAGGATACGTGTTCTGTCTTAATGGAGGAATGTTTAGTTGGAAGAGTGTTAAGCAAAGCACGACTACAGACTCTACAACTGAAGCCTAATACTTAGCAGCTTCGGAAGCAGCTAAGGAGGCAGTTTGGATTCGTAAGTTCGTTGGTGAACTTGGTGTTGTCCTCTCAATTAAGGGACCCATAGACCTCTACTGTGATAATAGTAGGGTTATTGCTCAGGCCAGGAAGCCATGGGAGCATCAGAAAGTCAAATATGTCATGAGGCGATTTCACATGATAAGGGAAAGGAAGTCCAAGGGTGAAATCAGAATTTGCAAGATTGGAACAGACGACAATGTAGCTGATCCACTCACTAAACCTTTGCCTCACGTGAAACACAACAAGCACGTTGAGGCAATGGGAATCAGGCACATTGGAGATTAGCTTTGATTTCCCTAATTGTGTGTTTTAGTTAAGTTGTGGAGATCTTAATGTAAAACACCATGTTGAATCATTCGTTTATGGAGTAATTTAATTTTTCTGAAAATTATTATCACTCCATTTCTATATAATTGTGGTTTAGAATTAAATAATGAGTCCAATCGATTTTGAGAATATTCAAAATAGGGTATCAAGACAATGTCTTGGATAAAGAAACACCTATTAAGTGAACATTAAATATTTTAATAAAGAATTATCCCTAATTAAGGTCATTTAAAAGTTGGACGATTAATAACCACTTGAGATTAGTGTGTAGTATGATTTATAGCACCGTTTCTTGTGCTACAAGGACATGATTGTCATAAATCATTTGTACATGTATTAGTTTGAAACTATACCAGATTAACCTATGAGAATAATTTAAAATATTTAACAATCGTCATAAGTATATTACTCATTATAGCTATCGGAACCTATTTCCTCGACAATGAGTATTGTAAGTTATCTTGTTTAACTACTAGTCCGTTTTGATGTTGTCAAACGTCTGCCGTACAAGGGGATTATAAAGGTAACACTCGGGCGGCTAGATCCTCTTAGTAAGGGAAGCTAACAATGCAAGAGTGAGAATGTACCCCTATTAACAAGAGTGAACATGTCTTTGTTGTTTACAAGGCCTCTCGAAGAGCGAGAATGTGAAAATACATGGTCGTGCTCATATGGATTTTAGAAATCATCTGTTTATTGATAGTCGAACTCGAAAATCGAGAAACACTTCTGGACCTAATAAGGATGATGAAGAATCTTACCTTATAGTTCATGAAGAGACATTAAGTGACATAGGAAATAGGCTATACACAAACATCACACTTATCCGGAAGGACAAGTGGGAGATTGAAAGGAATGGTGTCCTGGGAACAAGTGTATTATGCCGATAAAGGTTCGGAATTATTAGGAAGCTAATTATTCAGTGAGGTGAAGTGATCGAAATGCCTAGCTAGAGGCCACTTCTAATTAGTAATATTAATGCATAAATAATATTACAGCTTAATCTTGACTAAACCCTTCGGGTCACACCCAATCGTGTAACCGAACCAAAACGAAAAATTAATCTTATTGCACGTCAATAGAGTATTTATGAACAAAGATGTTGGATTTCGAGCTTAGAGCGTCAAAACCGAACGTCATAACTCGAGTCGAATTAAGGAATCGACAAGGTGGAAAAAATCAATTAAACAACAAGTCATTGCACAAGAAAAACCTAGCCTTGAAATGGCCTAGCCGATCAAGGGTTACGATGGCTAGCATTGCTATGCAAAGCCATTGCCGCAAGGCAAGGCTTAATTGGAAGCTAAGCATGCCTAGCAAGGCCAAGCATGCTAGCGGAGCATACCTTACGCACATCGCAAGGCCTGCATGGCTTGCCGCGCTCGCTAGGCAAGCCAGCAGCCAACCCCGCACTATTGTAAGGCCAGCAGCAAGCAAATGCTCGCTGGGCCTCGCGCATGGTCGCAGCAGCTAGTTGGGCTCAGCTAGCACAAGCAACACTACAGCAGCAACTGCCCGCATTGCGTGCGAGGCTTGCTGGTTGTGCGTTCGTCCGTCAAGGCTGGCCGGCGGGCCCGCCGAGCACTAGGCTGCCAGCAAGGCGCGCCTTGGTGCCCAAGGCTGGGGGTCAGCTGGCGGGTTGCGATATGCCGCGTTGGAGCCCAGTTTGTGGGATTGCTTGGAGAGCAAGGTGAGGGTGGTCCCCCCTTGTGGTCCTCACCTAACCCCTTGCTCTCCTCTTGCCACTTGTTGTTTGGTGATTCATTTGGCTTTTAATTTGATTTTAGAATTTAATTAACTCATATTTTGCCTTTTTACCAACTATCCCACATTGATGGGAGATGGGATTTCAAGGGCTCCTTTCCCTATAAATACTAATCATTTGGCATTGGGAAAGAACACTTGAGTTGGTGAACTTGAAGAGATCTCCAAAGAGAGAAAACCTTTGTTCTAATACTCT